GTTCCGTTGATGGCGCCATGGACGTGCGCATGGCAATGCAGATGCGGGCAGCAGAACTGGAATACCTCGGTGAACTGCGTCAAGTGCAACGGTCATTGGAAGTCTTCCAAGAAAGAGAACGGCACCAACAACCACAAGGGCCGCCAGAGATCCAAGAGCCAGAAGAGCCAGAGATCGACATCGGAGTCACGCCCATGGGAAGACGAGACGAAGCCCAATGGTGCCCCATACGTACGAATGGCGACTCCAGCAGAAGCACAGGCTCATCCAGACTATCGTCCTTTGAGTTCGCGTGCCACGGAGTCGGAGAAGAAAGAGTACTACAGAGAGATTCGCTCCAGGCTGAACCTGCTCCAGCAGAGGTACAACTTAGCCTGGGCCATGAGAGAGCCAGTGCAGGAGCTGGCCACATCTATTTCCATACTGAGACGAATATTGATATCGGAGAAGAGTCTACATCAGCAGAGCGCCTGGACAGAGACTACCATTGCCAGGATGATGCTGCGTGTGGAAGCAGCCAACAAAGAAGTCGCATCGCTCAAGGATCACCTCCAGGCGAAGATCAACGTCAGAGACAACCTCCAGGACCAGCTGGACGCGCTGAAGCGCACCAAGATGGAGATACACCAGCTCATGGAGGCGGAGAAGCAGCAGAAGGAGATGGAGACCAGCACAGACATGGACGAGGACAAGCCGTGCCAGGGCCTAGTGGTCTTCCCCGAGCGCCCGATAGAGGAGTCCCCTCCAGGCGCGGCCTCCACACCAGCATCGACACCGGTTGCGTCCACTGCAGGCACGGCACCGCCCAGCGCCAGCATTCAGCAGGCAGTCCAGCTGCAGGTCGAAGCGCAGCTGAAGCCCATGGCGGACCAGATGATGCAGATGCAGCAGATGATGGAGGCCATGATGATGCGAGACGCGATACGGTCATCAGCGACAGGGGCGACGGCTACTGGACATCACCCAGCGCCATCGACGCCACAGCCTCCTACTCCACCGACCGCGGCTCCCAGATCACCACCATCATTGACGCCGACACAGCCTTGTACCCCGATCCCGCTGATGGAGACCACGGCTCAGGACACGTCCGCGGGATGGATCACGGTGAAGGAGAGGGCCGCGGCCTTCGAGAGCGGCTCGGAGGGCGGACAGTTCTCCTTAGGGCCACGGCAGCGCAGCAGTCAAAGGACTTCAGCATCGAGGAGTCCAAGCATCCGCACCCAGAGAACGAGAGCGCCAGGATCCTCCAGGCGGCCTGCCAACGACAAGGGCAAGTCGAGGACGGCCATGGCAGCTTTCCGCAAGCCTCAGAGACGATCGGACATCGAGACGGTCGCCAAGACAGCAGAGGATCACAGAGTGCCGAGCAGCGATGCCACCCAGATGGATCCCTGCGCGGAGAGCGAGTACTGAGCCTACACGGCCATGAGAGGGTGTCGGATGGGGAGAGCCCGACACCCAGCAGCATGCATGTAGACTCTAGCGAGCAAACACCGCCACCCCAGCGCTGCCGCGCCGTTCGATAGGCCCAGGTCCAAGGTGGCTTTCGCCACGACTGTGCCTTTTCACTTCTACGATCCCTCCCCCGACTCCTCCTCTCCTCCCGATGTTGGGTTGGGCAGTTCGGAGGTGCTGACCCCAGGCACTCTGGGGCGTTCGGGGGCTGGAGTCCACACTGGCCCGCAGGTCCTGGACCTCGACAGTCGGATTCCGATCGAGGTCGCGATCGTGGGCGATGATCCTACCGACTCGATCAGATGTAAATTGGGACAGATAGGACTGCTCACACGCCTTCAACAGGAAGGGTGCCAGATAGACCTTGATTTAGATGTCAACAGAGTGGGCCTGCACGCCCACGCGCAGCTTGGCCTGGACATGTGCCCGACTAGCGAGCACGTCGCCGGCCAGATTTCAATCTTCGTCGACGGGTCCTTCGACGAACAGGACCCCACCACTGCGGCCTGGGAGATGGCCGTGGTGGCCAAGGACAGAGCAGGAGCCTTTTCCTTTCTGGGGGCTAGGACAGGAAAGGTTCTCTCTTCCGTCGGCGTTTCCTTAGATACCACTCGTTTCAGCAGCACGACCCCTGAGATGGGGGGAATCCTTTGGGCTTTGCTTTGGATCGGGCTTCTCGGACAGCCGAAGCTGAGGGTTTTGTCATCGAGTCTGACTCCGTTTCTGCGATTCAGTTTGCCGAAGGATCTGCTCAGTCCTCTGCCCACCCCGAGTTCGGTGCCATGCTGCGCCACTTGATCGTTGACCTGCGAGCGAGGTATGACCTCACGTTTCGCCATGTCTCGCCCCACAAGGCCCATCCCTGGAACGAGTTAGTCGATGGTCTCTCTAAACGTAGGCGAACGGACTCCGAAGTTCGTGACCCCGACTGGGCGAAGCTCTTGACCCCTGCGGTGGGAGATCCCTGGTCGCAGCGCGTATCCTGATATCACCGAACATGATGGACAGTTCTGTTTCAACACCCCCGTGCGCACATATGCGACGGGATACCCACATCACTAGTTGCCTCTTGGGTTTGAAGGCGGGCCTGACCCCCCCCCCAAGGAAATGGCTGGTGATCTCACCCTCAATGTCGCGACATTCAATGCGATGTCCATGCTCGAGGATGCTAAGAGACAGCATCGTCGAGACAATGCCAAATTGGTTAGAAAGCAGTTTCACGATCAGGGCATTCAGGTCCTTGGAACCCAAGAAGCTCGGACCCCAGAAGGGACCAAGACCGCCGACGGTTACTACATCCTCGCCTCTGGAGGTGACGGGAAAAACTTTGGGGTTGAGGCCTGCTTTTCGCTGATCCTCCCGTATTTGACTCACCGAGGCCACCCAAAGTACTTCCAGAAAAGTCACTTTCTTGTCACGCATAAGGATATCCGCAGGATCGTAGTGCAAGTCCGCGCGCCAGGACTTCATTTCAATTTCATGGTCCTGCACGCTCCCTATCAGGACGCGCAGAGCAGGACCATCGACACTGGCGCTCTTCAGGTGGTGGGAGGAGACTACTGCGATTGCCCAACGGATGTCAGTCGACGTCGTGTCGGTCGACGCTAATGCGAGGATTGGTAGCATTTCGTCCACTGCTGTGGGGAATGGAGGATGGATGGAGGAAGAGAATGTCTCGGGCACCTGCTTTCATCAGTTCATGTGCGAACTTGGGCCTGTCGCCCCCTCCACTTTCTCTGACCCCAACTGGAGCAGGGGCACTGAGCCCAGCGGTTTCACCTTTGTGAAGAATGGCGCCTATCGCAGGATTGACTATGTCATCGTCAAACCTCTCTTTGTGCCTGCCATCGTTTTCGAGCAAGTGTGGAGTGATCTCGATGATTTGATGGAGGTTAGTGATCATTGCCCTACTGCGCTGGGAATGGCGTGGGCAATCCACGACAGACCAGATCACAGCAGCCGAATCGAGGTTAGCAGGCCGAGGTATAACCGCAAGCTTACCAAAGATCATCACAGAGTTGCGATTTTCAAGTCGCTTTTGTGTACCATCCCCCTGACGCCATGGTCGACAGACATCAACAAACATTACAGCCAGGTCCAGGAGCAGATTCTTTGGGCGGCTGCCGCCGCTTTCCCAATCCGGGAGGCCTACCCGAGGAAGCCCTACACTGACCAGCTCACTCTTTACTTCGTCAGATGGAGACGAAAGAACAAGGCCGTCCTTCGTGCTGCCCCTGGCAAAAGAGCCCAAGCTATGTACAATTGGGCCAACACTCTTGTTCTGTCATGTCAAGCTCCTGTTTTTGAGTGTTGTGAAGAGGCTCAAAGCCTCCTTGTCTCTTTCGAGGCCTGTTTGTGGGAGCTCAGGCTCGCGGCCTGGGCCTTCCTGGAGCTCTTGGACCTCGACTCTTGGGGCGGGGCTCTTAGGAGCTTCCTCTCCGCCACGGCTGGACTGCTCAAAAAGAAACTGGACATCGATAGGACTGACACCCATGAGAGGATGGTCAGCGAGATGAGCGAGGCCATCGAGGATGGAAACGCCAAGAAAGAATGGCAGATTGCTAGGTACCTTCAGGCTTTCGGAGGACGTAGGATGAAGCCCCAAAGCGGCGCCCTCCCCATCCGCAATGGCCCCGACGGGAACCCCCCTCAGACGAAAGGTGAGGTGGCCGATTCGGTTCAAGCTTACTTTGCTGGCGTTGAAGGTGGGACCCTGTGCACCGAAAGAGGGCTTTGCGATAAGTACAGCGAAGATAATCGTGATCGCCCCCCCCCTCCTCGACTGCCCCGCCGAAAATCTGATGACCCGTGACCAACTTCGTTTCTCGTTCTCGCAGGCCACCTCAGGCAAGGCTGGAGGACCCGATGACGTTGTTGATGACCTGTTGCGCTGCGCACCTACCGAGACTGCTCGCCTGGCGCACCCGGTCACCTTAAAGGCGGGCGTGCACACCCAGGAGCCTCGTGCCTTCAAGGGTGGGTGGGCTCATGATCTGTATAAGAACAATGGCAGCGCGGCGATGCACGAGAGCTTCCGCCAAATCCTTCTCATGAATAACGTTGCCAAGCACCACCACAAATTTTTGAGGGATCAAGTTAAAACGCTTGTTGCGGGTCTCATTATCGAGACTCAGATGGGTGGGGCCCAGGGCAAGGGGACCGACATGGCGACCCACATGGTTCGCACTTTCTCGGCTGTCTCCTGTGCTAAGGGCCTCTCTACGGTACTTGCTTTCATCGACTTGAAATCGGCGTTTTATAAGGTTATCCGACCCATCGTCATGCCTTTCCTTCAGGACCCCCAGGACATAGCTGACGCTATCGATGCGGCCGATATCCCCGAGGCCCTGGCCCCGATTTTGGAGCACACCATCGCGCAACCCTCTGTTTTGGAGGGCCTCGACAATGTTCACCTGTTAAGGATGCTGGCGGATCTTCATACCAGCACCTGGTTCAAAACCAAGAGGTCCCGAGGAGTTATACGCACCGCCGCGGGTAGCCGTCCTGGCAGCTCGCCTGCTGACCTAGTTTTCAACCTTCTCTTTGCGCCTATCGTGCGCGAAATTCGTGAGGAACTCAGCAGTGCCAACTACCTGCTTGAGCTAGACGGCCAGCAGGACCCTCTCTTTTATCTGCCCCAGGACGCTGAGACTGACTGTCTCGCGGACAGCACCTTTGTTGACGACGTCTGCGTCATGGCAGTGGTTCAAAGTGCTGCCGACCTCCCCCAGGCGATGTCCGACGCGGTTGTCACCATCAGCAACGCCACGGTCAAGAGAGGCATGACTATCAAATTCAAAAAAAATCAGCACTCCTCGTCCACCCACGAGGAGAGGGAGCTCGTACGGTTAAGGCCAATATCTTCCCTGTTGTTGGCCCTGTGTATGTTACCCACTACGACGACGAAATTTCCACCAGAAATCCTAGAAATATCTTGGCACCATGGTGGCCCAGAGTGGCTGCGTTGCCACCGAGTCGGCCCACCGCAGGACCCAACAAAAGACGGGGCTCGGGCCTCTTCGTAGGACGGTTCTGAAGGCCAAAAGGTTACCCATCAAGACTCGTGCCAAGTATGTTGGCGCTCTCTGTACTTCGAGGTTGCTTTACAACGCCCACGTCTGGGGTGAACTGTCTAGGGATCAACAGCAAGCTATGGTCGCCGCCCACCTTGCCCCTTTCAGGACCATCCTGGGGATGCGGCTTGGACGTCCTGACCAGCCGCATGTTGCCAACGAGCAGGTCTTGCTCGATGTCAACAGGCCCGCTGTTCCCGACATCCTGCGCCTCATGCGGCTTCGGTACCTGGCCAGGCTGATGACTTCGGCCCCGCCGCAGCTGCGGCAGCTCCTCGATATGGAAGGCCGCTGCAGAAAGTCATGGGGTGCGCTCATACGAGAGGATCTCGCGTGGCTTCAGAAGTTCTATGCTTTTAAAGAAGATCGCACTCTCTCTGCTCGTGAACTTTTGTTGCAGGCGTCCACCGACCCAGCCCGATGGAAAAGAATATGCAGGACCGCCGCGCGCAATTTTAAAACATGGCAAGCAGACCAACGCCGGCTACAGTTGTGGAGAAAGGATTTGGGCAACATATGTAGAGCTCACGCCATTCCGCCGCCCGATTCTGCCCCGCTCCTTGAGCCTGTTACGAAATGCGTTTGCGACACTTGCCAGTTTGCGTGTGCCCACGAGGGAGCTATACGCGCTCATATTACTAAGAAGCACGATGACCCCGCGGGCAGAATCGCTGAGACGGGACAGTGCCTGGCTTGTGGAGTTGACTTTGTCACGCGTCCCCGCCTCCTGAAGCACTTGCGACATGCTCGCGCTGGCTGCCTCGAGCTCTGGAGTCGCACCGTGGCCCCCCACCCCGACGAGAGATACAAGGAGTTGTGCGAAGATGATCGCGCCCTGGTGGCCTCCTTGAAGGCCAAGGGCACGCGCGCCACCGAGGCCGACGTTCCCGCGCGCCCTGAGGACCCTGGCGACGCCCTCCATTCTGCCCTGGATGGTCTTGGTCCTCCTCTGCTCCGTCCTACCTACACCTCTGTCGTTTGCTTCCCTGAGGCCGAGGGGTGTACCCCCCCGAGCCCCCGTAGGATACAGCCCAGTGAAACGAGATACATTCTCCATCTCTGTTGTGGTCAGAGACGGAGAGAAGATTTCCAGCACTGCGTAGAGCTCTTTCAGACTCTAGAGGCTCCCACAGGGCCCCTCGCTGTTTTATCGATCGACATTGTCAATGACGATGCCGACAGTGACCTCAGGTCACGCAGTGCTTGCATTAAGCTCGCTACCTTTGTGTTCCAAGGCCTCGCCATAGGAGTGTTCACCAGCCCCCCCCCCCAGCGAGACCTGGAGGCCAGCGCGATTACTAGAGGACCCTCGAGACCAGGGATTTCGACAGCCTCGGTCTTTACAGTATGAATGGGGGCGACCTCTAGCCACTCCCAGAGAGCGGGCCCAGACATCTACAGAAAATGATATGTATCGTGCTGCGCTTTATTTCATGTACGTATGTCTTGCGTCGGGTGCCTGTGGTATACTAGTGCACCCTGCCTGCCCGTCGAACCAGGTTGCTCCAACGAGTTGGTTTCTCAAGGAAACCAGCCACATGCGGACCTTAGCCTCGATGGGTTTTAATATTGATACGATCTGGATCGACCAGTGTATGTTCGGTTCGCAAACGACGAAACCAACGATGCTCCTGACTGTGAATCTCCCCTCCGTGCGCAGGGAAGTCCACATGATGACGAACAGTGGACGCTGCAGCCACGGAGGCCACACCACTTTAGAGGGAAGTGATGGCAACGGTGGCTGGAAGCCCCAGACCGCCAAGGAACACCCACCCGAACTGTGCATGTTTCTGGCCCGACATTTTGTCACTTTCGCTTGCCAGGAGCTCAGAGAGAGGGGTGAGGTCCATCCGCGGAGCTGTGCCGACCTGACCCGTCACCCCCCTCTCGACCCGACATTGGCGCGCTTCTTTTGTCCGCTTGACCCCTATTGCGAGGCCCAGCAGGTCGGTGCCTAAGGTCAAGCTTCAGTGACAAGTGCGCCTTTCCCGAATTCACGTGCGGGCAGCGGATCATCGTCCCCAAATGCCGTCAAACAGAAACAACAGGAGGAGGAGGAGGAGGAGGAGGAGGAGGAGGAGGAGGAGGAGGAGGAGGAGAAGGGGGGGAGGAGGAGGAGGAAGGGGAGGAGGAGGAGGAGGAGGAGGAGGAGGAGGAGGAGGAGGAGGAGGAGGAGGAGGCGGAGGAGGAGGAGGAGGTCCCAGGACGAGCCGAAGAGGTGCGCGAGCAGTGGCCTTCCCCGCGCGCAGGCCGCCAAGACGCCCGCCTCGCAAAAGAGGGCCCGCTTTTGGGGGGGGGTGGGGCGGGCCCAGGCCCTCTGCGGAATGGGCTCGGGGCCCTGGTGGAACGCGGCTCCCTTCTGTGGGGCGAGCCCCGCACGGCCGTGCCGTCCTTGCGGAACGAGCCCCGCCGTGTGGACGAGGCCCAGGGCCTGGCAGGGGCTCGCCGCGCAGGCGTGGAGCGCCCCCTGTGGGGGCTTTTCTGTGGAAGGGGCTCGCCCTCGTGGGGGCGCGCCCCCGCGGCCTCTGGTAGAGCTAGAGCGGGCTTGGGGCGTTGTGGGACGCGGCACTCTTTTCGTGGAGCGCCCTCGCGCCCCGCCCCCCCCCCTCCTGGACCGAACGGGCCCCGCTTTGTGGAACGGGGCCCGCTCTGTGGAACGAGACACAGAACTGCCCACTGAGCCCCGAGACCGCCACAGGGCAGCTCGGGAGGGCCCCCCCGAAAGCCCCAAGAATGCCCAAGGGAGTTCTAAAAAGAGCCCGAGGAGCGAAGGAGAATGAGAACCTGGAGAAACACATCGGAGAAACGCGAAAACCATCACCCCCCGCACATGTGTGGGCGAACATGCTTAGCCGTACTGGCGTCACCTTGTAATGGTATATCAGTATTGTAATTGAAGTCGCGCGGTGGCCCAAGACAGCTCCCTGACGATAGCATGCGCGTGCGAGCTGGTGAATGAGCGAGTACTGATTCTCACGCGCGAACGTATGAGATGATGCTGATGCTCGTGGCCGTGGTTTTCAAAACCTGGTCTGTGATTCCGATGTGTTGGCGCTGGCGGTGAGAGGGGTATGACGTGTGTGCGCGCGCGTGTGTGTGTGTGTGTGTATGTGAATACGTGTGCTTACAGAGAGGGTAGGTGAGGGATGGTGTTGATGGTGACAGTGAGTTATTGGGTGAGTGAATGCAGCGTCTAAATCACTCCTGACACTCCTACCTCCCTCGCCCTCCTTATCATCATAGTCCGCCTCTTTTACTGAACAATCCCCCAGCGTGTGGAACAGGCATGGAGCCTTTGCGAAGCAGAGCTTTGCGGAACAAACTTTGTGGAACCAACCTTTGTAGAACGCAGCCTTGGTGGAGCGGAGATTTGTCGAACGAGCTCAGATTTACAGTGGAGCGAGCCCAAAATCATTGTGGAACGAGCCTGCTATTCCCGCGAAAGGGCACGGTGCGTTTCTGGAACACGCGCAAGACATAAGCGTGAAACACGCTTTTGCGAGAGGATCTCGGAAGGCGCTCGGGTCCTGAGACAGCGCAGGTCCTCGGAGGTCAGCACAGGTCAACGCAGGTCAACGCAGGTCAGGCAAGTCAACGCAGGTGTGCAGGCCGGCGCAGATCAGCGCAGGCCACGCGAAACTCCGCCGAGGAGAGAGCGCGACGCGACCCGCAGACAGACGTGCGCCGACCTGCGCTGACCTGCGCTTACCTGCTTGACCTCTGCTGACCTGCGCTCACCTGCACTGGCCTGCGCCTCCGAGGGATCGCTTGACCTGCGCTGACCTGCGCTGACCTGCGCTGACTTGCTTGACCAGCGCTGACCTGCGCCTGTGACATCTCCAGGTTGAACTCGAACACCCTGGGAACTTCTGCCCCACTGTTTCGCATCGCTCGGGGGGCATTCCCGACAGGATTCGAAGCCAGAGTGACCAGAGTACGGCGGACTCGGAGTCAGAGTGCAGCCGTCGTGCCACCATACGGAACGCACAGAAGGGACGAGGGGGCGCTGCTGGCCACGGCGGCCCCAAGCCACAGGCAGGCGCCACCGCAGAAATCCGAGGAACGGCCTGGAAGCTCGAGACCCTCCTGAGCCCAAAGCGGTCTTGATCCCAGCGGCCTGCCTGTAGCCAAGGAGGCGTGCACGCCGATCGTAGGCCCAAGATGGGCCTGGCCAAGGTCGGCGAGTGCGCACACGCGCCCCGGCATCTGCCGGAGTGATCTCGTCCCATCCGTGGCCCCAAAGTCCCGACCGCTTCCCCAAGGGGGAAGTGTTTCGTCCCGGATCTGCGTTTGATGGCCCTCGGGCCCGATATGTCGAGGAGGGGATCCCAAACTGATGTTCCGTCGACTCTACGAAAGATGATTACAATGCTTCGTAGATATAAAGAGCACTCTACGCATCGTTCGTAGACTCATCGGACAAATCTCTGGGACAAATCAACTTCGTAGTCGATGCCCTACTCGGATAATGCCCCCGAGGCCGAAATCTGATGATAAAAGCTGGTCGAAAATAATCACATCACCGGAGATCTGGGTACGGCTGATTCGTGTCGTGACGCCTTCAGCGTTGCCTTGTGACACCGCGTGGATCGTTTGGCCTGGAACGATCGGCAACTTTTGCATCGCCAAATCGTTCCGTTCTGGCCGCTTCTGGGCCACGCTGGGCTCGCCGCCACGCCGACACGACGCGAACCTGCCGTGCCTCCCTCGCCGCCCGATGGCCTTGGGCTCGCAGATGCCCCAGAGGAGCTCCACGGCCTCCCGGGCGAACAAAAACAAATCTATCTATCTATCTATCTATCTATCTATCTATCTATCTATCTATATATATATGTATACAGATACACACGTATCCGCGGCCTCGTGTGCCAGGCTCCCGGGCCGCGCCCCCGCAGATACGAGGCGCTTTGCTCGCGGATCCGCGGGATCGCGTGCCGGGATCCAGACCGCGAGGGAGTGGATATATGGATGCGTTCGTCGGCTACGCGCAGGAGTGATCCCAGGCCGGAGCGACCTCCGTTGCGCAGCCTCAGGGGGCCGCGGGGGCCCAAGCCCACGCGCGCGAGCCACCGCCCCGGGGGGACCCCCGTGGGCCCGCACCAGAGGTCGCTCCGGCGAAGGGCCACGCCGACAGTCCAATCGCATCGTAGGGATGCGCGTCAAGGATGCAACACTCGGGTCGGGCGAAAGGGGGGGATAGCAAAGGGGGGGTTTGAGAATCAGCTCACGTAGCTGATTTTCCCGGCGCCTCCCGGCGCCGGAGGCGGCTATGTATCGAGGAATGGGCCCCTCGGTGGGGCCGAAACCAGCTGCATACAGCAAATTTCGTAAGCCCCCCTTTCCCAATCCCACCCTTTCGTCTGGCCCGAAACACCCCTGGAGGGCCATGCTGTCGTTTTCGAACGAGGCTGGCCAACGAAAGTCGCCAAGAATGGGACGAAGGGGCAAGGATGCGGGGGTACAGGGAAGCAACATTGCACAAACATAATTTTTTTGAGCTCCGCGCAGATTGCGGTGGACGCCCGGCGGAGCCAGAGGCGCCGCCGGGGCGGCCCCGCGCGGATGCAAGAAACCCGCGCGGAGCACCAAAAGTTTATGTTTGCGCTGTTTTTTTTCTTCCTCGAAGGATGCATGGGGCAGCCTTGGAAGGTTGCGCATCCTTGCCATGCGACTTGACTGCACGCGTGGCCGGGGCTCGCCGCTCGTGACGGCCTGCAGGCGCGCGCCTGGTGCTCGCCCCGCGGGCCAAAGAAGCTCGCCAGCTCCAGCCGCACGGCCTCGCGGACGGCCGCCTGGAGCGCCTGTGGTCGGCCGCGCACGGCCCCAGGGGGGGCCGCCAGGGGGTCCGCCAGGCAGGCCCTGGGCTCAGGTCGGGCATGTCCTCCTACAGGCGGTTCCTGAAAGGAAAAAATAAGATGGTCAAGACGTGTACCCACAATCATCAAAAAGAGCATGACAAATCTCCACCACAATATTTAAAGACTATTCTTGAAGATTCCTCCTCCAGAGGGACATGCCCGACGTAACCTTGGTCGAGGCGTCCAAGAGGGGGGCGTCCAAGAGGGGCGTCCAAGAGAGGGGGGGTCGCAAGTCATGACCCGAGGCATGTGCGCTCCCCGGGAGAGGGGGGGGCAGAGGACGCATTGAGATAATAAGGGGCTCCATGGTATCTGAGAGGTATCATGGCCCCCATGTTGCCCACCCCCCCCGCGATCATCGCACCCCTCTTGGCCAGAGCACCACGACAGATGGCCGAAGACTGGTGCGGGAGCTCCCTGGGCCCCCATTTCGCCAAACCGTCCGTCCAACATACGCCCTTTGGGCGAATTGTTGGGCGTTTTTTTCCCCACATCTTGCTCAGGCGAACGAAGGATTGCAAAAAAACGAAGGATTGCACAAAAAAACGAACATTTGCAAAAAAACAACCTTTTTTTGCAATTCTTTGGGTGAATTGTTGGGCGTTGTTTTCCCCACATCTTGCTCAGGCATGGCTCCCCTGCGAGAAACCACTGGGACTCACTCGGGAATCGCGCTCGCGCGCGGGCGCCAGCCACCTCTTCCCGTCGGGCCAGGGGCGCCCGGGCCCCTGCCAGAGCACGACTCGACCACAGGAGTGTCACCAAATGGTCCGTTGAGATCGGACTCCCCCCCCCCCCCTCCCTCCTTCCCCCCTCTCGCAGCCCAGAATTTCGAGGATGTCTCAAGCAACGCACTGGACCACCTCGCGCGCAGCATCGCGGAGCTCCGACTTGCGATCATGTCTCAAGCGAAACGAGCCAGACGGGCCAGGCCACCTCGCGCACATTTTCTCGGAGCCCAGAATTGCGAGAGGGTGTCTTCGGCGAAACTGGCCACACCACCTCTCGCGCGGCATGTCCGAGCCCAGAGTTGAGAGGATGCCTCAGGCGAAACGCGCTGGACCAACTCGCGCGCGACATCTGGGAGCTCAGGCGTCCCTCTCGGAGCCCGATGTTTCGAGGATGTCTCAGGCGAAACGCGCCAGACAACCTCGCGCGCAGCATCTTGGAGCCCAGAGTTGCAAGGATGACTCAGGCGAAACGCGCCAGACCACCTCGCGCGCGGCGTCTTGAATTGAGAGGTTGTCTCAAGCGAAACGCGCCGCACCACATCTCGCGCGGCGTCATAGAGCCCAGAGTTGCAAGGATGTCGTAAGCGAAATGGGCCCGATCACCTCGCTCGCAGCAGCTCGGAGCCCAGAGTTGCGAGAATGTCTCAGGCGAAACGGCCGAGACCACCTCTTGCGCGGCGTCACGAATATCAGAGTGGCGAGGATATCTCAGGCGAAGCGCGCCAGGCCACCTCGCGCGCGACATCTGGGAACTCAGAGTTGCGAGGATGTCCCAGGCGGCGCCCAGGCCCCTTCGAGAGCACAACTCAACAACAGAAGTGCAATCAAACGGTTCGCTTGGGTCTGACCTCTCCTCCCTCCTCAGGACCACTTTGCGCGCGGCTTCTTGGAACCAAGAGATGCAAGGATGTTTGCGGCGAGCCGGGCCAGACAACCTCCCGCGCGGCATTTCAGAGCTCAGAACTGTGAGGATGTTTCAAGCGAAATGCCACCTCTCGCGTGGCATGCGAGGATGGAGCGGGCGGCGTCCAAACTCCTCCGACAATTCAATTCGACAACAGAAACGTAATCAAATGGTTCGTTTGGGTCTGACGTTCTTCATTCCCTGTCGGAGCCCACAATTGCGAGGATGTCTCAAGCGAAATGCGCCAAATCACTTCGTGCGCAGCATCTCGGAGCCCAGAGTTGCGAGGATGTCTCAAGCGAAACGCGCCAAACCACTTCGCGCAGACCTTCTCAGAACCCAGAGTTGTGAGGATGCCTCAAGCGAAAAAAAATACAAGCCACCTCTCGCGCGGCATCTCGGAGCCCAGAGTTGAGAAGGTGTCCTATGCGAAACGCGCCAGACCACCTCTCGCGCAGCATCTCGGAACCCAAAGTTTCAGGCGAAACGCGTTGGACCACCTCGCGAGCGGCGCCTTGGAGCTCAGAGCTGCAAGGATATACGCGGCGAGCCCGGCCAGGCCACCTTGCGCGTGGCATCTCGGGGCTCAGACTTGCGAGGATGTCTCAAGAGAAACGCGCCAGACCACCCCTCGCGCGGCATGCGAGGATGGACTTGGCGACGCCCTGACTCCTCCGAGAGCACATTTCGACGACAGAAGCGCGATGAAATGGTTCGTTCGTGCACGAATTCCCCCCCCTGTCGGACCCAAGAAATTCTAGGATGTCTCAAGCGAAACGCGCTTGACCATTGCGCTCGCAGCAGCACCTCGGAGCCCAGAGTTGCGAGGATGTCTTAGGCGAAACAAAAAGCCCGAGCCCAAATGGCAACATACTTCGGGCAGTTAATCAAGGAAGATACACTTACGTGCTGGCACAGCGGGGTGCACCCTTGATGAGCCCAAACGGTGCGATGGCAGTAGCATGGGAAGAAAATGATGATGATGCCTTTTTAACGGTGGCAATCCTGGGCGCCCTGGTTCAGGGCCCCTGCCATCTTGGGAACTCGGCGCCCCCCAGTGCGTTGGGAATGGAGCGCCGAGAGGGAGAGGAGACCCCGCGGCGAGGAGGCGGATCCCAGGCCCCCCGCCCTTGGCGCTGCAAGCGCCGGAGGCCCACCTCCCTTGCGGGGGCCCCACCCTCGGCCCAGGCGCCCCCCCATTGCCGGGGCCCCGCGGGGGAGGGGGGGGGGGCGCCTGCCCCGGGCGGGCAGCTAGGGCAAGTGGGGGCCGCCTCGGCCGAGGGAGGAGGCCAAACTCACACCGCTCCTGTCCTCCTCGATTCTTATGGCACCACCGCCTTCGCCCGCGCCGCGCCGCGCGCATGCGCGAGGCATCGGCCCCAGAAACCAGCCGTCGGCTTCGGGTGCGACGCGCCGAAACCGCTCCGGTGGAGGGCAGCGGCGCGCGCGCAGTCGAGGTCGAGGAGTTCGCCCGCGACTGGCAGCTGCCACGCACTGGCGGGGCGCTGCCCTCGAAGGTCGCCCAGGCGGGCGGCGCCGAAGTCCTCGGGCTGCTCTAGGAGGCCGGCTGCCTGCCCGCTGCTCGCCGGCTGCAATTATCCGAAGCGCTTGGAGGGCGAAGTCGGCGAGCTGGTCGGGCACCTGGCGCCCAGCTTCTGGTGGCCCTCTGGCCAGGGGTAGCTCCGCGGGCGCTGCGCCTGTCGCGGCGGGCGCGGGCCTCGGCGGTTTGTCCCGCTGCCCGCGACCAGATTGCAAGGCGGCGAGACCACGCGCGCCCCGCTCGCCTGCTGCCGGCCGTCCGAGGCAATCGACTGGCAGCGCTGCGCCAGAGAGGTCGGCGTCGCCCGACTGGCCAGGCCCGCCTCGTCCAAGTGCGCGGGGGTGCCGAAGCGGCGCGCGAAGGCTGCGACGCCCGCCCGGCGCTTTTGCCCTGCGAAGAGGTAAAGCACCTTCGGCTGCATCTGCACCCTGCGGCCTGCAGTCAGGTGCCCGGCGGGCGCCTGGCTCTTGGCGGTGTCGGGCGAGGCCGTCGAGGGGGCCCTTCCCCCTGTCGCCTCTCCTCCACCAGAATCCCGCCCCCCAGGGGCGCGCGGCGACGCCTCTCGCGCCTCGCGAGCGGCCGTCGGGATGGCGAAGCTTGTTGAGTCGCGGTCCCCCCCTCGCCGCGGAGACGGTTCGCCTCGCGCTGCGGAGAGCGCGGGCTGCCCAGGGGCGGACCTAGCGCCAGGTCGCAGCCGCGCGGGGCCTTCGGGCCTGCGTCTGCTGGCGGCGGCAGCGGGGGGCGCGGCCGCCCTGGCCCTGCGCCGCCGCCGTCGCCGCCCCGGCGTCGGCGCCGCTTGCCGCGGCCGCCCTCGCCCCTCGGAGCGCCCTGGATCGGCGGCGGCCCCGCGGGGGCCCCGGGAAGCCACGCCCCTCGCGTCAGCCGCTCGGGCGGCTCTCCTGCGCACGCACTACGGGTGGCCGCGTGCGAAACAGAGCGAGCGCGCGTGGGGCGTGCGGCTTGTCTGCGGGGCGCGCCTGGCCACCTTGGAGTTGCGCCTGGAGCGGATCTTCTTGCCGTCCGGCGCCTGCGCAGAAACGCCCGCGCCCTGGCCCGCGCCGCGGCCGCCGCCTTTGCCCGCGCCGCCCGCGCGCGAGGGGGCGCGCGGCCGCGGCAGCTGCGGCTTGCGCGGCAGCTGCTGAGGTCGCCGGCGCGCCGCCAGGCTGGCGAGGGCCGGCGTCGCCATGGAGCAGCGCTCCTTTTGACCGCCAGATCGTCGATCGACCGCCCGCGGGGGCGCCGCGTGGAATCGCAAGTGGTCTCGCTGCGCCGCCCGCCGGGTCTTCTTGCGGATGCGCTGCTCGCGCTGCAGCGCGCGGGCCCACGGCGGGCGCGCGACCGCGTCGCCCTGCGCGCGCCTCGCCGCGAGGCCCATGACGCGCCCCCCCGAGCGTGCAAACCAAATGCGACTAGCAGCTCCCGCCGGTTCGCGCGGCACTGGCCGGGCGCGAGGGCCACCGCGCCCATGGCGCGATGCGCTTCTGCTTCTCCTCTGGGCCCTGCGCGGGTTTGATTGGCGGCCGCCGCCCTCGCGAATTGCCGCGCCCCTGGGCCGGGCCAATCTGGCGCCGGGAGGTCGGGGTCCTCGTCTTCCGCTGCTGAGCATGCCGATGCGAGCGCCTCTTCCAGGACGTCGCCGCGCTCGATGATCTCCTGCGCGGCCTCGAGATAAGATCTCGCTGGCACCTGGCCCTCCTCGAGCCCCTAGTGCGTCTTCTCGAAGGCCAGCCTCGCAGCCTGGTGGCCGGCGACGCCCGGCGGCTTGACCACCTGGCGATCTTCTCCGCTGCTCGACTCTCGCGCGCGCTGCCTGCCGCGCGCGCGCTGGCGCTGCGACCAGCGCGCGCTGCCCGGTCAACGCGTCGACGTCGACCTGGTCTCTGGCGAAGTCCCTGACGCCATGGCCCGATCTCATCAATCCGAGAACTTGCCCGGGCACGACGCGCCGAGAAGCGCAGCTGCGTCTGCGCACCTGGCGCCCCCCCCATCTTCGCGAGGAGGAAGCTCCAACCCTCTCAGGCCGCGCCCCCCCCCCACCCACCCACCCACCACACGCACGCGAGGCCCGAATGCCTCGCGATGGGCCTCGCAGGCCCTCGCCCTTGGCGTCGCCAGCGCGAATTCCGATCGAGGGCGGCTCGCCGACGCGCCGCTGCGGGCCCTCGCGGAAGGAGGAGGCCAGCGCGCTCGCGGCGCCGAGCTCGGCCCGTCGCGGCGCCGAATTGGCGAGAGCCAAAAAAATTGCCCCGGATCGCGCCGCGACCCAGCGGGTCTGGCCGAGCAAACAAGGACGCGCCGCGCGGCTCCGAGGCCCTGCCCACCCCAGCAGCACCCGCGCCAGCGCACGGGCTGCCTCTCCCCGTTTCGCACTCCCTCCCCGCCCGCGGCGGAAAAGAGGGGGGCCCGCAAGCGGGGCGGGCGCCCTCGCGGCGGGGGGGGCGTCCGCTCGTGAACGGGCGATCCCAGACGCGCGCCGACCCATCGCGGGGGCCCGGGCCCAGGCGGAATCCCCCTGCGAGGGCGGTCGTCGCTGCGCGCCCGCGCGCGAGCCGAGGGGCCCGGAGGCGGGATTGTCAGCCGGGCGCGGCCTCCCTCGAGCCGAGCCTGTCGAAGGCTGTTGTCGGCTGCCAGCCCCGGTCGCGCCCCAGGCAGCGCGACGGCCAGCTCAGCCAGCTCTCCCGCCGACGCGCGGGCGTGGCCCCCGTCCCGACGAAGGGTCGCGTGGGGCCCCGCCGCTGCTGGCGTTCTCCTTAGCGGGCTGCCTCCTGCTGGTCAATCTCGTCGAACCCTCCAGGGCTCGCGGAGCTCGACGAGCTCTTCGAGCCCTCGCCCCCGCTCCGCAATGGCGCCTCTCCGTGCGCTGCCGGATCCGGGATCTCGTCGAAGTGGACCGAGTCCAGCGGCGACCTGCAGGAAACCCAGCCGCAGTCACCAACCTTGTGGAGCCTGGCCACCTTGCGCTTCTCCGTGCACTCGTTGAGGTACTTGCCGGCCTCCTCGAGGCGCGCGTTCTGGGGCGGGGGGTGCTGCGCCCCGTCCCCGAACCGGACGTCCACCCAATCGCCGTCGTCGCGGTTGAGATCCGCCGCCAGCTCTTCCACGGCGCTGTCGCAGCCGTCCTCCGCCTCCTGCTCGCCCTGCGGGAGCGGATCGATCTCCGTCGGAGGGGCGGCCTCCTCTTCCTCGACCGCGACGGCAGCCTCCAGCATCGCCGTTGTCATCGCCGACGACGGCGACGACGACCGCCGCGGAGGCCGTCGCATGTCTCGGCCGCAGCGAAGTTTTTCCTCAACGCCGGCCAGTTCGCCAAGTCTGGGATGGCCGCTGCCTCGCCTAGCTCCACGAAGGCCTTGCCCGAACGCAGCGCCACTGTGAACCGCCGATGGAGTCTGGAGACGACGGCGCGGCACGTCCTCGCGCAGGTGGCAGCGCCCTCTGGCGACCACCTGCCCAAGTAGTCGCGCTCGCTCCTCAGGGCCCCCATCGCCGCCATGGCCGACGGGGTCGTCGCCCGCCCCGAACGCGCCGCCCAGAAGCCCGCGACCTTCGCAGAGAGGGGCCCGCGATCTCGCCCCCCAAGGCCGGCGCCAGCATCCTCCGGAACACCTCCTGGCCCGCCGCCGCCGCTTCGACACATCCTGCGGGCTTGCTGATCACCTCCCGGCCAGCGTCGTCGCGCAGCGGCGCGAAGTAGTCCCTCTCGAAGTCCGCGACATCCTGCCACGGGCGGAAGCCCGTCTCTGTCCACAACGGGCCCCGCATGTAGCACTCGCGGGATACTGCCAGCGGCAGCTCAGGAAACTCCCGCCCTGAACCGCTGGTCTTCGCGCGCACCAGCGCGGCGGTCAGACCGCCGCTCACGAAGCCGAGGCGCCGAAACGGGGGCCAGCCGTGGTCGTCGCAGCGCAGCCCCGCCCAGACATTGACGAGGCGAAGCCACGACGCCCCGCGCAGGTGCTTCGCGAGGCCCTCGTCCACCTCCGGCTGCTCCAGGGCCCCGACGACCGCGCTGGCAAATCGGACCACCTACGCCGTCGGAGCCTTGCCCCTTGCCAGCGCCGAGGAGTTTCTCCGTGTTCGCGACGACCTGTTGGACCTCTGGCCGAGCGGAGAGCTTAGCGCTTGGGTCGAAGCCCGCCGCGCACTCGGTTCAGGTCAGGACGCTGAGGGCCTGGTTGGGCACCGTCGGCCCACGGGGCTCGGCAGCCCTGGCGTGCACGTGGTCGCTGAAGTGTACGACCGTCTTCGGTCAGGGGATGCTGCGCGCGCGCAAGAACGTCGGCGCAGCGTTTCGCCCGCGCGCGCATGCGACCGCTGAAGCAATCGCGCGCGGCCCGTGATGCAATCCAGCGCCCGCCCCGGGTCCATGCAGGACAACGCCACCTCCAGCGAGGGCGCCTCCATCTCGATGAACGGCTGGAGCAGTCGCGACCTCCAGCGTGCCCACACTCGAGCCTCCACTTCGCCGCGGCTCTCTTTGGCGGCGGCGCGGCATTTCCGCTCGTGGCGGGTTCCCGCTAGAGCGCGGGCCCCTGGCGGCGAAACGGCCTCGCGCCACTACACCCTGCACGCGGCCAATGGGTTTGCCGCTACGGCGTCCTCCAACATGGCTTCTGGACGCCCGTGGGGCACCCGCAACCGCATCTGTAGCGGTTCCTCGGCCACCGTCTGGTCGACAAAATCCCTCAGCTAAGCCCGTGCCTCCTCCGCGCTGAAGTCCGCGGCCGCCGCTACATGTCCGAAAATGTCCTCGAGCTCGAACTCGAGCTAGCTCGCCTGCAGCACCAGACTTGTGCCGAGGAGACCACAGCCATGCAACCCACCAGAAAAGTCTGAGTGAATCTGAATAACGAAGGGTGTGTCAAAGCGAAACGACCTGAACGTGTATGAATGAGAGCGTGTGGGGGGCAATTCCACGACCGAGTGGGCCTGAGCGAATGGGAGCCTGACTGAGTCTGAGTGAGAAAATGATGTGGCTGAGTCATGCTGTGCCTGCGTGGGGTAGAATGAATAGGATTGAGTATGTCATGGACCCCGTGAAGAAGAGAGGGTTTGTGATGTGCCTCCTGATTAGAGTGAATAATCTGGAAATGTTGTCTCTGAATGCTATGAGAGCGAAGAAAGAAGGGAGGGAGGAGGTCTGGAGGCTTCTGAATAACAGCAAAAACCACCTCAGTGCATGGCGGAAGCAATTTTCCGTAAGCAATGACTACCCGAGCCCTGGACCCCATCTCTCTGCGGCCTGCCTCGTGCCTGATCGATCTGTGAGGCCCCCGGGGCCCGAAGCTGGGCGAAAGCGCCCCGGCGCGGGAAAAAGGTCAACGCGCCCAGATCTCAGGGCGCGCCCCGACGTGGCCCGTGGACGTCCATTCCCTGTGCTTTGTTTGGTTTCGTGCGTGGCTTCTTCGCCAAATGATCAGGGATGCTCCTCGATGGCCGCCGCCGAGACAAAAATGCACACGTCCGAGCGATGCCAAAGGCACCTTTCCTCGCCCCGGTTTGGGAGGGCTCGGCGGGCCGCCGCGCCCTCGCCGCGCGGCGGCACGTGGCGCTGCCGCGCGCCCGGCGGCCCGGCCGCCCGGGGAGACGGGGTCCGCCTCGCGGGCGGCGCGCAGAGCAGGGCGGGCAGGGGGGCGACTGGCCATCGCTCGGACGTCCATTCCCTGTGTTTTTCTTCGGTCTCGTGCGTGGCTTTTTCGCCAAATGATCAAGGATGCTCCGCGATGGTCCTCGCCGAAGGAAACATGCACACGTGCGAGCGATGCCAAGGCGACATGCAAAGCCCACCCTGCTCCGCAGAAGTCGTAGGGGGTAGGGGTAGGGTTCGCCTGTGGCCCCCCAGGTGGGGCGATCGCGGCGGGAGTGCGCAGGCAAGCTCGTGCCGTGACGGCGTCGGCGCTCCGTGGGCGGGGGGGCACATCCGTGGCCACGACCTCGCCGGCTGGGCCCCTGGGCCGCGACCCTGTGGATGAGCGGCGTTTTTGCTCGCAGATGCCCCGCGCGGAGTGCATCCATCTGACTTCGCATTCATGGGATCGCGCCTCGGAATCCAGACCGCGAGGGTATGGATGTGAATATGTTCGTCCTGGTGAGCGCTGGTCTTCGACACCGCGCGAACCCTTGAGCGTGGAGCCATCGCTGCTTTCTGGACGGTGCCGACCGTGCTCGGCTGCACGCAAGAAGAGGAACCTGTGGCGCGCAGCTCTGCAGGACCACGGGAGGGTGAAACCCACGCGCGCAGGCCACTGCCCAGGGAGCCCCTGCGGGCCCGCACCAATCGCCACCTCGTCGAAGGGCCACTCTTGCGCACGGCCGCCAGTCGATGTCGGCACGCTCTGGGCCACTGCCTGCGGTCAACCCCGAACGGCCGCGCTGGCGTCGCCCTGCCGCGCTGGCGCGGCGCGGACTTTGCCGAATCCACATCTAGCGCCTCCCTGGACGCAGGGCGGCGGAGGAGGAGGAGGAGGAGGAGGAGGAGGAGGAGGAGGAGGAGAAGGAGGAGGAGGAGGAGGAGAGGAGGAGGAGGAGGAGGAGGAGAAGGGGGGAGGAGGAGGAGGAGGAGGAGGAGGAGGAGGAGAGGAGGAGGAGGAGGAGGAGGAGGAGGGAGGAGGAGGAGGAGGAGAGGAGGGGAGGAGGAGGAGGAGGAGGAGGAGGAGGAGGAGGAGGAGGAGGAGGAGAAGGAGGGAGGGAGGGAGGGAGGGAGGGAGGGGTCGAGACTCCACGGCCGCGACACCCTGGATGTAGGGCGGCTTTGCGTGGCTGCCCCGCGCCGAACGCACCCGTCGAATCGCGCATCCACTGGGTCGCGCTCCGGCGCCCAAGCCGCGAGGGGACAGACGTGAGACTCTACACCTGACCAGCACAACCTCCTGGAGGTCCGCGCGGATTTCTCGGGTCGGCGCTGGGCTCCCTTCCCCGCATGTGTGCCCCGGCGCCTGGCGGCCATGCTTGTTTGTTGTTCCCTGTGTCGTATGGGGCTTTGTCAAAATATGGGGCCGAACGGTCATTCATCGTCCCTGGGAGCGTGGCTGGAGTGAGGTTCTGCGGTGCGGATTGTTGAGCTCTTATTTCTGGAAAAATAATTATTGTTCATCCCCCCCGTCCGGTGCACTTTGTTTTTTTCGATTGAAGTGCCCTTCCCGGGGCTCGCACCCTGTTTTTTATAGGGAAGCTCTTGAAGGTCAAACTGTGTCGTTGGCCCCCGGTTTACAACAACAACGGCTCCCGCCTGAGTCTTCCTCACAACTTAGCCAGGACCCCCGCTCCCGCCCGAGACTTCCTCGCGCTTTATTCAGGAATCGCACTCTCGCCTGGGACTTCCTTTGAATTTATTATCCCGGCGATCTGGAATCGCGCTCTCGCTGGAGACTTGCTTGCAATCTACTGCGGAACAGCGCCCTTGCATTCGAATTTCCTGTAATTTACTGAAGCGCCGCGCTCCCGACACCCAGGCACCCAGGAGTCGCGCTCACGCTTAGGACTCCTTTACTGATTACATAGGAATCGGGATCTCGCTGCCCTTCGTGGCCCCGTTGCAGCCCTTCGTGGCCCCCTCGCTTTGTTTCGTGGCCCCGTTGAAGCCCTTCGTGGCCCCATCGCTGCCCTTCGTGGCCCCGTTGCAGCCCCTCGTGGCCTCCTCGCTGCCCTTTCGTGGCCTCGTTGCAATCCTTCGTTGCTCCCTCGCTTTGTTTCGTGGCCCCGTTGCAGCCCTTCGTGGCCCCCTCGCTGCCCTTCGTGGCCCCCTCGCTGCCCTTCGTGGCCCCGTTGCATCCCTTCGTGGCCCCCTCGCTGCCCTTCGTGACCCCATATATGTATGCCCTTCGTGGCCCCCGCTCGTTCGCGCTCGTGGTGGCCCCATACGCATCTGTCCTACGTGGCCCAGTTGTTACCCTCAGTGGCCCCATCGTTGCCTTCTGTGGCCCCGCATTATCTGCCCTTCGTGGCCCCCGCTCGTTCGCGCTCTTCGTGGCCCCATACGCATTCCCTTCGTGTCCCCGCTGTTGCCCTTCGTGGCCTACTTCGTGTCCTTGTGGCCCTGCTGTCGTTCTCTTTCGCTCTCGCTTTCGCTCGTCGCCGTCGTCGCCGTCGTCGACGTCGTCGTCGTCGTGGTCGGTCCCCTGTCCGTCCCTCTTGGGGTCGGGTCGACGGTCCGCGGCCGCCCCGCCGATCAGCGCTGCCGCTGGCCAGGCCGACGGTCCGCGGCCGCCCCGCCGCTTACCGGGGCCAAGCCTGCAGAGAAGAAAGGTATACCCCCCAAAAGGGGTTCGATCGAAGACGAAAAGGGCGGGTATCGAGAGTTTGGGAAATAGGCGTTAGTGGACACTCGAGCAGATAAGGGCGAACAGTCTTAAAATGATTGATGTTGTTGCTGCTGCTGTTGTTGTTGTCGTCTTGATTGCTGCTAATATTGTTGTCGTTGTCGTTGTCGTTGTCGCTGTCGTTGAATACTCTCACTTCTGGAGAATAATTATCGCTGGTCTCCGGAAGCGGTTCCGCGCGCTCTCGCCTCGACGCCAGCCACATTTTTTCTGACAACGAGGCTCCCGCGCGAGCGTTGGCTTGAGTGCAAGTGTGGGCCCTTGGAGGCCCGGCTACAATGACAACGGTTCCCGCTCGATAGTTCCTCACAGTTTACCCCGAGACACCCTGGCCAGAGAGGCCCCCGACCTCGGGAACGGTGCTCTCGCTCGAGACTTCCTCCCAATCCAATCAAGTTGGTGGAGGCCCAGCCAGCGGCGGGATCGCCGCCAGTCTAAATACACACAAATCCCAGGATACCCAATATTTTCCTATATTTTCTGGGGTTACGTCTTCCCCCCACTTCCCACATTTTCCTAAATTTTCCTGGATATCAACGATTAATTGTGTCTGTGTGTTTTTTCCTCTCCCGACGTATCTCGACTGCTGGTGTTCAGACCTGCTCATACTTCGATTCACCCGCACCCTACTAGAGTCACCCAGTTCCGCCCATTCTCACTCAGATTCGGCTGCTCGTGATCGGGCTCGCTCATGCTCGTTGAAATCACCTACATACTCAGACACTCAGAAAGCAACGCGCTGGATATGCACAAACGGGGATCCCCGCGTCGAGTCACTGCTGCTGCTAACTCAGAAGGCGGGAGTGCTCCTGAGAAGACACCATGCTTCATTGACGGTAGCCCTTTCCCTTCCCAAACCCCCGACGCCATGAGTGTTTCACAACGTGGACCCTCCAAAGTATCCACTGGCCTTTCCCGCGACCGACTCTTCATCCGGACTCGTTTTCTGACGGCGCTAGGGGCTGGGCTAGGCTCCCCCCCCCCGGGCTCCCCAGAGGCATCGAATTGTAAACAATCTCCCGCCGGGATTTTTCCACGACGCGAGGGGGGTATGGGTCCAGGGATCGCAACTCGACCCTCGGACTTCTCACTGCACCGAACTTGCAGACGTGCTCTGCAGCGGACTTTTGTGTGGGTTTCTGTCAACGCAAGACCCCGAAACGGCGAGCGAAAAAACGAAGCGGATGTTTGTCTTCACTCCTGGACAAAACAACATCCACCCGAAAGTCACCTCGAGATCCGGAACGAAATTCTCCAGGACACTCGGGGCCCATCCTACACGTCGTTCATTTCTAATCGTGCTCATTCTAATTGTGCTCGGTTCTGATTGTTCCTGGCCCCCTCGTGGCCAGGAAGAGGCCCAGGATAGAAGAATTAGAAATGAAAGGATCTTGACCCCCAACAAACAAAGAGCTTTCGAACAATTCGAGTATCGTTTTCCGAGCGAGATCCGCTCTGCGATGTGGGCGCCATGAAACCTCCCCCAGGGGGAGCACTCTGGCCGAGACTCCGAGCAGAACCCGGCCGCGGCCCAACGAGCACCACGCGCCCGCAGGCCTCGCACCACGAAGCTCGAACTCCCCCGGACGCCCGCCGACGTGCGCCCGTCAGTGCGCGCCCCCACTGAGGTCCCGACCCCTTCCGCGGGGACAGTCTCTCGGGGGCGCGCACGCATGGATCGGCGATCCGTGGATTTGGCGCGCGGTCGCCAAGTCCATGGATCGGGGGAGGTGCCCTCCCCCACAATGCGGCCGGTGCCGCCTCGTCCGGCGGCGGAACTCCACGCTGTGCCATGGAGACGGGCCCCGTCGCCAATCCACGCCCCCCTATAACCCATGCTTGCCATCGCTGGAGTCTTCCGTCCCCGGCCTTCTTGTCGGAGTTTCGGGGCCCGATGACGGGCCCCGGAGGCCGCAATCCAGGGAGTACGCTGGTGGGGCCCGGCGAATGGCCGACCCGAGGAGGAGGAGGAGGAGGAGGAGGAGGAGGAGGAGGAGGAGGAGGAGGAGGAGGAAGGAGGAAGGAGGAGGAAGAAGGAGGAGGAGGAGGAGGAAGCCGCAGCCCAGGGAGCACGCCAGGACCGCACAGACCGTGTTCCGTGCGCGCCCCCAGGGAAGGATCCCGACCCCTGCCACGGGGACAGCCTGCCGCCCCCAGCGCCACTCGAATTGGACCGAGCCCCGGGGGGCCCGAGGCCGGGCCCCGGAGCAGGGGACCAGACGCGAACCCCCCTGACCTCCTCGCGCTGGGAAGCAATCACGACGGGAGGTTTTCGACTGTTTTTCGGCTCGCGAGGGGGGGGGGGTCCCCGACCTCCTCGCGCTGCGACAAAATCACGACGGGAGGGTTTTGACTATTTTTCGGCCTCCTGGAGCCCTTACGCTGGGCCTCCGGGACTGTCAAGAGACGGCCCCGGGCGAAAAACCGGTCCCGGGGAAGGGGTCCAGACCTCTGGGGGTCGACGCTGTGCAAAAGGCACAACGTCGGGGGTCTGGGTCAGATGAACATTGAAACTGGGGGCGCGGGGTGCACTCTTGCGCCGTCTTCTATAGGCGTTGTGTACGTGGGCGTTTTTTATCGAAAACGCTGGCGGGGCCCGACGAATGGCCGACCCGAGAAGGAGGAGGACATGATGGAGGAGGAGGAGGAGGAGGAGGAGGAGGAGGAGAAGGAGCAGCAGGAGCAGGAGCAGGAGGAGCAGGAGCAGCAGGAGGAGGAGGGGGAGCAGCAGGAGGGGGAGGAGGACATGGGGGAGGACATGGAGGAGGAGAGGTGGAGGAGGAGGACATGGAGGAGGAGGAGGAGGAGGAGGAGGAGGAGGAGGAGGAGGAGAGGAGGAGGAGGAGGAGGAGGGGAGGAGGGAGGAGGAGGAGAGGAGGAGGAGGAGGAAGGAGGGGAGAGGAAGGAGGAGGAGGAGGAGGAGGAGAGGAGGAGGAGCAGGAGCAGGAGGAGCAGGAGAAGCAGGAGGAGGAGGAGGGGGAGCAGGAGGAGGAGGGGGAGGGAGGACATGGAGAAGGACATGGAGGAGGACGAGGAGGAGGGAGGGAGGAGGAGGAGGAGGAGGAGGAGGAGGAGGAGGAGGGGAGGAGGAGGAGGAGGAGGAGGAGGAAGGAGGAGGAAGGAGGAAGAGGAAGCCGCAATCCAGGGAGCACGCCAGGGCCGCGCAGAGACCGCGTCGCTGTGGAGGCCTGCACGCCCCTGCGCCGCGCCCCCTGGCGGGGCGCCCCCAGGCGCGTGTCCCCTGCGCCGCGCCCCCTGGCGGGGCGCCCGCGAGGGGGCGCGGCGCGACCGCGGGGCCTCTGCGACGGCGATGGGGGCCTCGGAGCGGCCTGGCCCGGCCTCCGAGAAGCCCTCTCGGAAGCCCACGGGGCCCCGCAAGAATCGGCGGTGCACAAACCTCCCTTCAGCAAACCGCCTTTTCGTGAAAACGGCCTACAGGACCGAAGCCGACGGGCCTGGACCCGCAACAAAAAAACGACGGCCGCGACCCCCTCCCCAGACATCCGACGTCTCGATTCTTTCGAGACACTGGCCCCCGACCTCCCGACCACTTCCCCGGGACCGGTTTCTAGTCCCGAGCCGTTTTGTTGACGGTCCCGGGGCCCTGTAAGGGCCCCCGGAGGCCCAAAACTATAGAAAAACATCCCGCCGCGTTTTTTCACAGCGCGAGGAGGTCAGGGACACCCCCTCGCAAGCCGAAGACGGCCCCTTCGCGAAGCGACGCGTCAGGGCAGGAGGCCCCTCGGCCTCCGAAAGGGGAAGGCCCCATGGCCTCCTCCCGGGCCCCGCCGCCCTCTCGGCATGCCCGCCCTATCTCGCGCCCCCGCCAGCTCTGGCGACGAGATCTGCACACCCAGAGATCCAACGTCATGTTTTCATCTCCTCCTCCTCCTCCTCCTCCTCCTCCTCCTCCTCCTCCTCCTCCTCCTCCTCCTCCCTCCTCCCTCCTCCCTCCTCCTCCTCCCTCCTCCCTTCCTCCCTCTCCCTCCCCTCCTCCTCCCTCCTCCTCCTCCTCCTCCTCCTCCTCCTCCTCCTCCTCCTCCTCCTCCTCCTCCTCCTCCACCCATCCCATTCCCCAGGACCAATTTTTCATCCTGAGTCGTTTTTGGACGGTTACGGGGCCCGGCGAGGGCCTCTCTACAGGTCGACATCGGCGAGAAGCCTTCGTCTCGATGTTTTCAAGGCGTTGGATCTCTGGGCATGTCCAAATTGGAAACCGAGGGACGGGTCGAGGTATGGGGGACCCTCTCTTCCTCTGACACAGATCTCGTCGCCACGCGTTTGTGGGCGCCGCCAACAACATGGGGCCCCCTTGGCCCTTTTCCTCGTGGCCGCCGGCCTCGGCGGCCTGTGAGGCAACCCGCCCGCCAGAGCAGGCCGCGGTGACTGCGCCTGGCAGGAGGACCGCCGCTCGCCGCTCGCTGCCGCCGCGGCCTTCGCCGCTGCTGCCGTCGACGCCGCGCCTTCATCGCCGTCGTCGCCGCCGCCATCGCCGTTGCCGCGGCCTTCGTCGCCGCCGTCGCCGTTGCGGTTCGCCGCCGTCGTCGCGGCCTTCGTCGCCGAAGTCGCCGCCGCCGCTCGCCACCGCCGCGGCCTTTGTCTCTGCTGCCGCGGCCTTCGTCGCCGCCGTTGCCGCTCGCCGCCGCCGCGGCCTTCATCGCTGTCGTCACAACCTTCCTCGCTTTCGTCGCCGCCGTCGCCGCGGCTCCGTCGCCGCCGTTGCCGCCGTCGCCGCCGACGCCGCGGCCTTCGTCGCCGCCATCGCCGTTGCCGCTCGCCGCCGCCGCGGCCTTCGTCGCCGCCGTCACCGTTGCCGCTCGCCGCTGCCGCGGCCTTTGTCGCCGCCGTCGCCGCTGCCGCGGCTTTCGTCGCCGCCGTCGTCGTTGCCGCTCGCCGCCGCCGCGGCCTTCATCGCCACCGCCGCGGCCTTCGTCGCCGCCGTCGCCGCTCGCCGCCGTTGCGGCCTTCGTCGTCGCCGTCGCCGTTACGGCTCGCCGCCGCCGCGGCCCTAGTCGCCGCCGCTGCAGCCTTCGTCGCCGCTGTCGCCGCGGTCGTCACCGACGCCGCGGCCTTCGTCGCCGCCGTCGTCGGCGCCGCCGCGACATCCGTCGCCGCCGTCGCCGTTGCCGTTCGCCGCCGCCGCGGCCTTCGTCGCCGCCGTCGCCATTGCCGCTCGCCGCCGCCGCGACATTCGTCGCCGCCGTCGCCGTTGCCGCTCGCCGCCGCCGCGGCCTTCGTCGCTCTCGTCACCATTGCTGTTAACCGCCGCCGCCGTTGTCATCGTCGTCGCGGCTTTCGTCGACGCCGCCGCCGCGGCGTCCTTCGTCACCATCGTCGCTGGTGCCGCTGGTCGCCGCCGCGGCCTTCGTCGCCGCCGTCGCCGTCGCCGCTCGCACCAACCGCAGCCTTCGGCGCCGACGCCGCGACCATCGTCGCCGCCGCCGCGGCCTTCGTCGCCGCCGTCGCCGTTGCCGTCGCCGCCGTCGCCCGGCCTTCGTCGCGGCCGTCGCCGTTGCCGCCGTCGCCGTTGTCGTTCGCCGCCGCTGCGGTTGTCGTCGCCGTCGTCGCCGTTGCGGCTCGCCGCCGCCGTGGCCTTCGTCACCGTCGCCGCGGCCTTCGTCGCAGCCGTCGCAGCCGTCGTCGCCGAATCCGCGGCCTCCGTCGCCGTCGTCGCCATTGCCGCTCGCCGCCGCCGCCGCGGCCTTCGTCGCCGTCGTCGCGGCCTTCGTCGCCGCCGTCGCCGCCGTCGTCACCGTCGTCGCGGCCTTCATCGCCGTCGTCGCAGCTGTCGTCGCCGCCGCCGCGGCCTTTCTTGAGATCCGTCGTCGCGAGAGCAATGCAGCATCGTGAGAAATCACGACCTGAGCCCCGAGCCCCACCTTTCCGCGGTGTCTCGGGAGCCGGGCCGCTCTGTGCGGGACCCGGGGCCCGAAAATAGGCTAAACCGCCGGTTGCGAAAAAGTGCAATGCCCAGATCTCAGGGTCGCCGTCTTCTAAGGAAAGAACACCTTCTAAGAAGCCATCCCCCTTCCCCTCCCCCCTTCTGCGCGAATGGAAAACTCAAGGCGGGTGTTTTCCATAGTTTTCGGTGCCCAGAGCCGTCGAAAAATTGTGACATCCTGGGATCCCGCATTGAACAAACCAAGACTTCGGATGTTTTAGGGCGACGAGTAACGACGGCGGCGACGACAGGGGCCGCGGCGGCGGCGACGACGAGCGATGGCGGCGAGCGGCGGCGAGTGGCAGTTACTCCTTGGAGAAATAAAGGGGCTTCGTTCCTTATTTCTCGTTCGTTAGGTCAGGCCGATGACTGTAATCATAGCTATGCCCAGGGCCCTCGCCGGGGGGGGATGGGCTCAGGGGAGGGGTTGACGCATCGATCCCCCATCGCCCATTCACCGCTGATAGGGGCGGGTTGGCCCATCCCGCCAAGGAGCCCCGGAACGTTCGGATTTGCTATGCATCTCAGAGCGTGAATTACCTACCCCGTTTTCGCTTCCAGGCAAAACCAATTCATACCACGCGCCTCCTCGTCAAGCGGCCTGACCAGTACAGGCCGTAGTTTGGCATCGCTTGGTACCTCTTGGAAGCGAGGGTGGTCAAAAGCGAGGTAGGTTTGTTTGCCCCCTAGTATCGGCGGTTCTAGCGCCATGTTTCCCCCCTGAGCTTGTCCGCCCGATCGTTCCTCCGCAGAGGCGTCCCAGGATTTCAGTGTCCGTTGCCCCACGCGGCCAGCAGCGAGCGGCGAGTGCGAGTGGCCGAGGGCCGCTAGGAAACTCCGCGATCCGACCTGGGCAGAGCACATCATTCTCGCTCCATGTAGGAGGGATACCAATAGACAAGGTTCGCGCCGTCTAAGAAGCACGGGTATGTCCAAGAAGCCCCCAGTCTCCCCCTACCCACCTCTGCGCGTGGCTGATTCCAAAGCGCTGGATGCCTGGGTCGTTGCCATCGTTTGACTACATGCTAGAGTGATCCTGGGTAAGAGCCCTTTGGTGCGCTGCGCGGCTTTTCGGGGGCCGCGGGGGGACCAAACACAAGCGCGCGAGACGCCACTGCCGCATCGCGTTCGGCGATCGGGGGACCCCGGTGGGCCCGCATCAAAGGTCACTCCGGCGAAGGGCCACTCTTACGTGTAGTCGACCTACCCCCCTCTGGGCGTGGCTGATTCCAAAGCTTTGGATGCCTGGGTCGGTGCCGTCGTTGCCGCGGTTGCTTGAGCAGGGACCGACCGTCCCGGCATTCCTATAGGCCTACCACGAAATATTCTTAGCACCCAAACCTGTTCTCTAAGAGCAAAGACAGGGCGCTCCGAACAGGGACCCGATGCGCTCCAACGAGACAGCCTCGGCCAGAACTGTTCTGAGCACGCCTCGTGCAGACCACAGGCGGTCCTCAGAACATCCTTCGGGTGGGCCTGCGGGTGAGCCCGGACGCTTCGCCACTGCATTGAAGGTTGCCGCCGCCGCCTTGCCGGCCGGCCGCCCGCCGGAGCAGGCGGCCGCCGCGTGCCCCGCGGAGCCGGCCCTCGCCAGGCCGGAGGTCGCGCGGGGCGCCGCCTCCGCCGAGGCCTGCGGGCGGCCGTTGCCCGTCGGGGCTTCGTCAACGGGGGTTTGGCTGAACGGGGGTCTGTAGGCTTTGTCCATCTGCCACCGTTTACTGTGCCCCCGCCTACGGCGCCCAGGGCCCCCTCGGCGTTCCCCGTGCCCCCGTCTCTGGCGCCCTGAGCCCGGGAGGGGGGGGGGGGGGCTGGGCAACGGCAACGCTTGGGCGGGCTGGGGCACTTCGGGGCGGGGTGCGCTACGATCGCCACAGTATAGAGGGGCAAAAAGTCCACCCCGACAATCACCACCCCGACACGCGAGGCCGTTTATAGTGAACGCGCCCAGGGAAGGGATCAAGCAGGGCAGGGCCGTTTAGGAAACGCCCAGGGCCGTTTTGTAAACGCCAATTGTCGGGTCTGCGTGTTTTTTCCTCCCTTGATAATATGTGCGCGAGCACCAGCATGTGGAGGGTCGATGTGGAGGCCCTGCCCTCTCCCTGTGTACGATCGCTCCCGTTACCTGGGGGAGGGAGGGGGGGGGCGGGCAACGACCGTTACGAGCCAGAGGAGAAACAAACCCGCCGACCCTTCGGCGTGTGTGAGACGCTTTTCCGTTCGAGTCGTCGTCGTTGTCGTCGTCGTTGTCTTCGTCGTCGTCGTTACCGCCGTCGTCGTCGTTGTCGTCGTCTTCGTCGTCGTCGTCGTCGTCGCCGTCGTCGTCGTCGCCGCCGTCGTCGTCGTCGTCGGGCGCCGGCCCCGAGGCCCAGGCCTAGCCTGTGAGGGCCCAGCCCTCACTCTGGACCCGCCGTGCTTCTTGGGCGATTTCGCAAGTGGGGCGGGAATCCCACCAGCCCTCTGGGCGTGGGTGGTTCAACGAATGTTGTCTTCATCCTGCCAAAACCCTTCCTCCCCCTGCTCGGTGGAGGGGTCTATCACTGTTCCCTAATAACATATGATTGTATACCCCCTCCCCCACCCAGCCGGCGGCCAGCCAGGAACCGTGCCCCCCCCCCACCATCCCTATCAAACAACATACAGAACGCACTCTGCCTCGGAGCATGCACGGCCAACCCGATGCGCCCTCCCCCCACCATCCCTGTCAGAGAACAATGCAAAATACACTTTGGGACAAATTCTTGAATCATGTTCGTGAGGCCCGCGAGCACTTTGTATTATTTTTGACAGGGATGGCGAGGGTGTCAGCATATTGCCTGCTGCGCGCAGGGCTACCACCCCTGACAAAAAGCAATACAACATTCACCTCGCGGCTAAATCTGGATCATGCGCGACCACCCCGCGATCAGTCAAATGGCTTACGACAGGGACGGCAGGGGTGGTGGCATATGGCCTGCTGTGCGCAGGTCCACCAGACACAATGATGGAAATTGGTTTTCGACGAGGGTGGTGGGGGCCGACATGTTTCCCGATGTGTGCTGTCACGTGCGCAGGCAAACCTCACACACTCTGCACGTGCCCCGAACGTGGCGCACCTGGCGTGGCTGGAGTATGCGGCAAACCTGGCGCACTCGGAGCATGTGGCGCATCTGGCGCACCAGGCGTGCCTGGCACGCTCGGGCCCCAGGGGTGCCTGGCGCGCATGGCGCCACTGGCACACGTGGCACACCTCGCCCCAGCGTCGCGCACATGAGGTCGGTTTTGGTTCCCAGTAGCTGTCCATCCAAAGACGACCGCTGAACATGCTCAGGCTCGGGTGTTACTCCTGTGTTGGGAGGGCGGGTGGGAGTGAGCTGGACGGCTTGCTATCCAAGGGGTGTTTGGATAACTGTTCCCTATTATCATACACCCCCTCCCCCACCCGGCCTGCGGTTAACCCAGAACCATGCTGACCCCATGCGGGCCACCCCACCATCCACGTCAAAAAACCATACACAACGCACTCTGCCTCGGCCAACCCGATGCCCCCCCACCATGCCTGTCAAAAAGCAATGCAAAGTACACTTTGGGGCAAAATATTGCGGCATGTTCGTGAGGCCCGCAAGCACTTCACATTGTTTTTGATAAGGACGGCGGGTGCGTCAGCATATTCACTGCTGCGCGCAGGGCTACAATCCCTGACA